ATGTGTGATACAAGTGATGCATTTTACAATCGGGATTTCCGCACATTCTGTACAGAACTATATAGGTTCTGGCTGAGTGGCTAACTGCTTTGCCTGTTTTATCAAGAGTTTAGCAGATGAAAGGTGCCAGTGTTTTAGGCAGTGTGCGCAAAATATCCCCGTTTTAACTTCTTTCTTACAACTCCGTAGGCCGTATACTTCCGATGCCGTCGAAACACTTGGTGCGGCACTTGTTGACACTATGCGACGTCCCTTTTTTGCTTTTTATCGAGCGGCGAGACTGACGAACTATCAGATATCGAGTGATTATATATCTTTGATGGGTACACCCAAATGAGACAATCAGATGATTCAGTGACCGAATTCCGGCATTCGTACCAGGAATGAGTGATTGAGCACATGCCTGCCATTTACATTACTGGCCTCCCGATCTGTCGGTCACAGGATCGTGTGCAGACTGCTTTCAATCAACTAATTGATCGACCTTCAGGCATCCGTTTTTGGTGACATTTTTATTGCCCTTAGCACATTAACCAGAGTTTAATGATGGATATTAGCTTTTAATCATTTTCATTTATTGAAAGAACCCTGGTCAGAAGAAATCAATTGCTAAGACTGGCCCCATAGATGGTATAGTGGGAGATGTACAGTGTGGGAGATTAGATATCCGGATAGGTACATACGGATGATGAAAAATAAAAGAACATAACATAGTACTTGTATCTTCCAAGGACTAACCAATGTAAAGATGAGGGTCAGAATTCAAATCAATTCTAAAATCTCGTTACCACATTGAAGGTGATTGACGGCTTTCCAATCTCCATTTTCAAATCCAATCTACAATCGAACACGTAACCGAACTCCATCCACAGAATAGCTCATAATTCATCTGCAGTCAACGGATTATAAAGAAAGTCTTCATTCATTGTTATCGCGTCAAAATAAACTGAATGGCACTGAATATGACTTCTGAACGAACTCCAGATGTTGTTTTCGATCACATTTCTAAGGGAGTGGGTTTAGAGTACAAAACTTAAGACTGTCGGTTGATATACACCACAAAGAATCTTTACGGCAACTGAACTCCTCCTCTCTGACGGTTTTGGTTTACATATTTGAGGGAATGAATAGAATAGTTCGCTTGAAGATTAAATGTTAAAAATGAAACATTTTCTCCAGTTGACACAACGGTCGGGTGAAATAATGAGTATCGTGGTGAGAACTCACCCTCCGGTTGCATATTATCCAAACGCACATTCAGACGTCTGAGCACAGCAAACACCTCGTGTACATTGTGCAGTCGTTCCACGCGTGTGATTGGCTGAAGCAACAATCCGTTCAGCTTAATATTGCCTGTGACAATGACAAGTGAAAGGGAATGATTAGATAGCATGATACGGAATTGCAAAGAACAAGTTCCAGTTGACTCTGGAGGTCGACCTGCGTGGGGTGAAGTTTGATTGCACTCCCATTCTTACGATTAAACGAGCTATTTCACCCGCCTTGTGTTAAAGTAGGTTCTATTTTTGTCTTGCTTGATGCACCAACCTCGTGCAATGTTCTTAACTTCATCAGTAATTTTTGCAATTATAAATCTTTTTTGCGTAGCGTTAGTGAATCCCACATACATCGGATCACTACAAATCAAATTGGGACCGACTGAACGAACTCGTGCAGATTGGTAGGCTGCTTACGACAGTATCATTCCCTCCTAAAGACTGTACTGCTTGTGGTGAGAGTACCTATTCGCATATTTAGCCGAATTGCGGATTGAATACGAATTCCAGAAGACGGATAGTTATGTTCTCATAGACACCAAACGGGCTGAAGAGAAATGGCCAGATTGAAGGCTTGATTTGGTAGGAAGCTTTCGATGGGAGTTGACAGATAGTCAACTAGGTCTCCCTTCGTTGGTGTCAGGCAAAATGGAATGACCGACTAGCTCTGAAGATGACACATGGGCAACCATGATTTGGCCATGCAGTTCAGCCTAGCGCGAGATGGTTGCCACGGTGTTAACACACACGTCCTCCTCATGCGATGGATCTGATGAGCTCTAATAAGAGCGAAACTCGAGTCTAGTGCTTCCGAGTGTCTGGCTGAACGGAAGTACCGAGGGTTGTGCGTGAAGGTGAGTTCTGAAGGATGGTCAGTTCTAAACAATCACTGTCAATTACCTCGCACCAATACTCATGAGTTAGATGTGACTTCGTAAATTATATCACCGGGTGACCATAATGTCACTAGAAATATCCTTTGTTCTTGAAGTTGTATGATGTCTTTGACAAGGAACTGTAAGCTTGTTTTATCTTATTTTATGTAAATGAATAGCATAACATATTTGATCGATTCAGTGATATTCGAAACCGGACTTGAACAGTGCTTCATTTATCACCCCAAGTAATCCATTCACCTGAACAGGTTCCTACTCATCATAAATATAAAATAATAAACTCCGTCGAATATGACGCTCGTCTTGCTTTACTCCACCGAACTGTAATTGCGGGGTTGAAACTTAAAACACATCATTCCACTCCCTTACCGGTGTACTTGGCATGTAGACATAGTATCTTTATTTTCATTAAACTTACCTATGGTCTCCAAAAGTAGACCTATGGCAACACCATTGCACATATTTTCCTCCGTCAGATGTGTCACAGCCATAGGAGGAGTAGCTTTGGCCAGATGTGAATTGAACCAGTTAATATAATCATTCTCGATCGCTTCTGACTGGGGATAGAAAATGTGCGCATGGATTTACGAGTTGAAATTTGTTTCTTGAAAAAATATCTTGGATTTGATTGAATCATTTTCAAACGACTAAGTTCCTCAGGTGNGGTGACTCATTCTTTCTCACTCATTTACTTACTCACTATTTCGCTCATTCACTCGCTCTTTTTTTCGGTTTTAATCTTCATGTTTTAACCAGTTTCTGCCGAATGACTGCTGTAACTCCATATCCCACTAATTAGTGTTGACACTGTGGTGAAGTACGTTGTATAGTTTATGCAGAAACATACGTAAGATACAAACGATGATGGATTATGTGCCCAAATCCCATTTTCCTAACTCTCTCTCTAAACATGAGCAAGAGGTAATAAAGAAAACAATATTTCAGACAAACGAAGCGAAACAAACAACATATATTAATCCTCCTGGAAAGACTATCGTATTTCATGGTGTATCATTTCCGAACGTCATCCGCCTCGCTGCTCGACTGAACAGTGCAATCAGAGTGCACAAAAAGGCAGCTTTGACTGACTGCCAAACCAACTATAATCGTAGTCGGCTGAGTGACAGCTAAAATCCTCGTGCGCACCCTTTCAACGGGATGAAACAATCGTCCTACAGAAGAACTCGAGAGTTTGAAAGAAAAGAGGGTGCTTCAAGTATCTCATGCCAGTGTAGAGATTGGTTTAAAAGTGAACCAAAAATACGAACGGAAATAAAAGACACTGGCATTGCACAATACTTAAGGAATATCAGAAACCGTTGATTGAAAACTTCCACTACTGGAATGTTACGGTAACCAAACTTTCATTGACGCTGATATCAATATTTTACAACGACCGGGACCATGAAGGTCCGGTCCGCTGGGGCGTATCTAATGAATCGGTATATTATACCTGGGAGTGAATGAAAAGTAATTTCATCAGTCAACTATAGATATACATGAAATTTAATTTAATTCAACAGAGTCTTAGGTAGTGCAATGAGGTATAACGCACCTGGCAGGTTATGAAGTAAAATTGTGATCGTCAGAGTCAAGGGCTGATTCGGACCATAACCGAATGAGTCTATGATTAATAAAATTGGTCGTCAATGTATTGAAACGAAAATAAAACGAAGAAGAAAAAGGTGAGCTTTTATTGATCTTGAAGTAGCAGAATTTCTTGCCTTCAGACAACTCTAATCCTCGATTGATGTCCCACACGTCCCTATTCAGATTTTTAATAAACCATAGGCACCAGATACGGTTTTCAAACCTATACAAAATTACCAAATCATCCAGTAACTGCCAAATCTGTAATCCTATATATTTCTGAATTACTCATCAGCTTTTGATTCTATTCCTTACTCCATTATTCGTAAACCGGAAACCTTCGGTTGTCCCAAGCACTTATTAGCCTAGTTATCTGATTATTTCTCTGTGGACGGGGGGACTCAGTGTACTTAATTAGGTCGAAAAAATCCCAATCACTGGTTAACACCTTTGGGGTATTCCTAGGCGCAGTTCTTTCCTCGGCATTATTTTCTACCTATATTAATGATTTGTGTGTTAATACCGCTATTGCTTTCTTCAACGATGAACTTTTATGCCAGACTATCTCCAACTCTTGTTCTATTTTACAATTTTCTAAAACCCTGGACAACTTTCAACACATCCGTTATTCTCGATCCGTATCTCTATCCCTCTAGCTATTTTGATTGTCATTTTGCGTTATTGCGTTCTCATTTTCCATTTGTTTTGGTATCGGTTAGCTCTGAACCCGGAGCTGGGTGAGCCGTATCATCGATGATAAGCTTCATTGGACCCCTCACATTCAACATATTACCACTAAACATCGATAACGTTCCATGTCCGTAACATTTGTTAGTTTCTAATTGAGCATTCAATTGTTTCCAAATGTTTGCATCAGTATCTTACCCGTATTTTTAATTGATCACCTGTTGTGTTTTCAAATCACTTAAAGAAAAATTTTAATGTGCCTTTACGTGGACCGATCGTCAGAAGCCGAGTATCGTCACTCCCACTGAAGGGTTTGATAACCAACCTATGTGAATGCCATTTGGAAGCATGTGAAAAGATCGCACGAAGTACACTTATGGATCCCACCCATTCATTGCACACAGATTTAACTTCATTTCGGTACCATAAGTCTACCAGATACTATTACCGTTGCTTTCCTTCACATATAGACATAAATGGTTAATGGTGGTACAAAGTGAACTGAAAAAAACCTAAAATTGTAATTGTGGTTATTCAAATTTGATACAAAGATTTGCGCAAACAAAGCTTCCAGGTGCACGCCCTGCGTTTACAACGGCACCGACGGCATGATGTATCCTAGTGCGGATGCAAAGAGCTGATCAAACAACAATTTGGTTGCGTAAACAGTTGACAAACCTGATTAAAAATGCGAAATGGTATTGTTAAACGTGACGTTAAGTTACATTTTTGCATAAAATCTAAGTTGAGTAATCAAAAAGAACAGCGAAAAGGCAAACGAAAAGCCCCCATTTACATAAGATATCTTTCTATTCTCGTTCAAATACTGCACTCTACAGTAGCCACAAATCATCCGACGGCAGAGTATAATATGCGGCAAAGCAGATATTCGCAGGGTTGCGTGGTTTCTCAGGTAGATTGGAAAAGAGATAGATAGTTCACTTACCCAATAAAATCCTGCTGAACTTCCGTAATGGGTGAGATACTCATCGTCTGTCGTGCCCATTGTCCAGGTTCAATTATGAATAATAATCGAGTAGACTGGAAAACAAAATGATATACAAAGTGTGAAAGCTCGTAGGTACTAACGGAAGAAAAATCGTTTCCTTATGAACATGTTCCGGAATCCCAATGATTATTTTCGAACTATTATGATGGTGTTCATTTGGATGAAGTTCATTGACCTAATTGGTGAACGTGGAAAATCAGTATCATTAACGAGCAAGCCGAAGTTGTCCCCATCTGGAACATGGTTAACCGATAGCTCAAATATACCTTCTGTGAGAATCGAAACAATGGATCGCAAGAATAATGTTCTGGTTAGTTTCGGGTAACAAAATCACTTCCTTTCAGATATAATCACGCGAACACGTGTAAAATATCTTAAACATCAGCCGAAAACTTTGGATCTGAAAAGTACTGTTAGTACTGTTAGAATTATTAAACAACGGCATTGTTTGATGATCAACATTTCACACATAACATTCTATAATCAAAGCATTGCGCTTGAAGTGATCAACCACAGGAGGCCCAAAGCAAGAGCTAGGAAACTGGAAATTGGAATTCCCCGCGTTCATAAGTTATCAATGCATCCAATTTGAATTAAAGATCAGCAGCCAGTCGACACAGTATTTCTTCAGGGATGTTATCACTACAGATAATTGAATACATCCGCACACTACAACGAAATGTAAGGTTGTATTGCTCTCTGAAACGTAAACTGTCTATCCACAGGACGCAATGACAACAGTTTAGGAAACACGATGTGTGGCTCGAAGTCAGGATTGGAAAAAATACATGCTGTTTAAAGATGAGTCTGGATGAACAATTACTATCCTAACTGGAGTCATATCTGACATGTAGGATCAAATTACCCCAGAAACACAAAACTCTTTTTGTGGGTGCTATCAATAAATAAGTATTGGTTGATTTTTATCCAGTTCAGTCATCTATGTGCTACTTATTTTGCAATAATCAACGATCCGTAATGTTTTATATGTGGATGCCTAGAGAATAATTTGTCTAACGAACTAATCACCGAAATCAATTTTCCAATACCCAAAGAAGATTTTGCGCGTGCATAAATTCATAGAACTACCACATACGAAATCATACACACGATGACGGAATTTGCAATCAGCTAAATTAATCAGTAAACACTTCAAGCAACGATGTTGTAAGGTTCCGTTCTGTAATTAAAATATTAGGTTTAAGAATACACACGTAAAAGAACTGCTGTGAAGTGATCATCATATTTGTGAGTAGTACGCCTAAGGATGCGTTTGGAGGTTTCTGTAAACGGTCAAAAATCAAAAAGACCTGTTGGAGCCAATCGCCGTGTTCACTATGGTAACTATAGGAATGCGCATCTACCGTTGGACCGTTCCACTAACTATCCTGTGCGCATTTGTGAATTTTCATTCCAAATGTGACATTTTGTTATATGAACGCCGATTTATCGATACGCTGAATGTTATTCGTTATCCTCGTCCCGGCTTCGCCTGTTAAGTTATAACGACAGGTGCCGTCGCCAAGATGAAGATTCAATGACCTGTCGCTTTCGAGGATGGTGCCTTGAGGACTTTCCTGGAGGAGTTCGTGAACGCCGCAGGGCTGACTAGGATACAGACGGAACGGGGAAGTTGATGGCCTTCCAATCGCTTCTCAAGGGCTATGCAAGGGCGCTGTTGTAGGCTGCGCAAAGAGGTTCGGAGAAGATTAGTGGGCAGCCGCAAAGGAAACCCTGATCTCGGGTTTTTATATCCCGGCCCATCACCACGAGGCATTGTTGAGTTTCAGGACGACGCAAATCTGAGGTTGTGTGAACCCTCTGTCGAATGCCGTGGCTCTGCGCACCCTATTAAATCGAGTGCTTCTGATGTTAGACGATGCGGCGAGTTTAAAATGACAGCCCAACTGTTTCATGGAGAGCTTGCCGAAAAATTTGCGGTAGACGGCATGGATAATTAATTAGGCAAAGACAATGGATGTATTGAAAATGACGGATGTCCCGAGGCAGTTCACTCGAAAGAAGTCACACCTGTCCTGTCAATCAAATGCACTACAGGAACCCTACAGGAATTACGAGAACTCTCAAGGAACTAAAGAAGGACGCGGTGGCCATCGGAACCAATTAAAACCGGAGAGATGTCATAAGGGGAAATTTTAGAGCGCAGAGCCAGAGTGCTGGCGAAAAAGTTGCCCCGAAACACAGCTCAAGTGATCCTTCAGAATACCTTTGATTTCGTTCAAATCGTTTTCCCCGAACGAGGCTCCAACCCGAACAACTGATCGTTGTTCACTCTAGACCCATATACAGATGGGACATCATTAAAGCCATGTTTGTCTAACACATGTGCTGCAGTTTCATTGGTAAAACCCCAGTCAACTGAGTCCGCCGAATCCTGGGATATAGTAATGAAGAAAGGAGGCAGCAGTGTGACATTGCAACAAATTGGGCTATTTCTATCAAGAACATGACGGACAAACAAATGTGTCAGATTGTCAGAGAAAACGATGAGCAAGCTAAGAAAAACAAGTGAAACGGAAACTAGGCACACTTCTAAAATTGTCTGAAGCAAATGACAAGCACTATATCTGAGGCCGTGTCGGCAACCTTGGCTAAAGAAAGTTACTGCTTAGATTGAAAATATTATATAAAATACGAAAAGAAAGGCATCTGGTGAACAGAGTTCAGGAGACGAACGGCGACAGGTGTTTGTATCAAAGTGAATACAATAGATGGTTCAAAGATTTGTTTAAAATCAAACTACTAACCAGGTAACCAAAAGTCAATCATGAAACGACAAGAAGTTTTCAATTGAAAGAAAGACGTCATTGCTCGCTGCATGTAGAGTTGATTTTCGCTGTGGAGGAGTGTTGTGAGATATTACACAGATTTGTGAGTAATACGCAGTTTCTTCCAGCGGTCTATTCTCGTCCCGCTACCGTCTTGTGGATCTATAACAATACGAAGAGTATCTGATTTGGTGGGAGATTCTCAGCTGGAGGTAAATGGTTTTACGTTGTGTCTCATTTTGATTCTCTCATGACAGATAAGCTGAACCATCTATGAAGACGAAAAGTGGTAAAAATTGATTCAGTTTTCTGGATCGTACATGGAAGTGTTGAATTTTACGATAGCATACATACTCAATGCATTTGAGCCATCCGAATTTCGAACCACGGATGATTAAGTTAATTTCTATAAGGTACAAAGATAAATGAAGGTCTAGTCCAGTGATTCCGAGGAGTATGGTTAAATGGACAGACTGGGGATCGTGTGCGTACGGTTAGCGACGTATCTTCCCCGTAGACGCTTGTTCTAATGCCAACACCGCCCACTTACTTTGCTCAATTTATATAGCTAATAGTCTTTTTCAGTGGCCGCTCCTCTCTTTCTGAAAATTTCTTTTCAGCATTTTATACATTTGATCAATGGAAGCGGGAAGAAATATAGAGGCGTTTCAGAGAGAGGACATTCCACGCAATCTTGCCTTAAATGTCAGACTGGCTGTGTTCCCCGACGGATTTTTCCCTAATTTGGGGTAATTTCAGTACTTTTAATGTCAAGACTGTCTTGACTGTCGATGAGGGTTTTAGGGGTATTAGTTCCTTGTGTGTTTGCGAAGATGTCGCACCGTTCTTTGCAATTTTCACCATATTTCAACCGTTTTCTCTTCTCTCACTCTGTACTTTCAAGCTCAAACCGGCAAGCGATAACTTGTAGTCGTCACTGAGTCATGCGTCCTCTGCCATCGTGTTTGGTATGCACATTTTCATTACTCATCTGACCTTTTCCCGAAAATTCCATGTAATCTACTTATCACGTGATTAAGTGAATGTACCGTAGTCTGGGTTATTCCAGCTTACCATCCAGTTACGTTCTTTTTTGCTCCCCAACAAGTTCACATTCAGTTACCAACCCCACTACCCTTTCAGTTCTCATGCAATGTGTAACCTTTATGTTGGTACAATTGGTGAAAATCCAAATGAGAGATCTTGTGAATACCACCTAGAACAAGGTCCTAACCATTACAGCTGCTTTGGGCCATACATCTGTCAGAATCCATCTTCAAGCACATTTTTGAATTCATCCATTCAACCATACTATCAGGAAGCACCAGGATTTAAATACACTCACGGTGTACAGCTAGAGTGAGAGGCATTCGATTTAATTTAACGGCTAGTCAAACGTGTCTCCGTTTGTTGCTGTTTGGTAGGATACATGTATGGATGTCACGGAAGACAAAATCTGAATAAATATGAACTAATAAGTTAGATCATGGCCAGGATGAATTTGGTAGCACATGCCTTGCATCCAACGAATGCGGAGTTTAGTTTGGTTGACCTGGGCACGGTAGTGGTATTGGTCAATAACTGAGCACCTACCAAATCAACCAATGGAACAAGCGTCCTTCTGTAGTTCAAAATTCGACGACGAAATCNCCGTAATGCAGAAGCTGGAGAATGAATTATCATCAAGAATCATCCCAAAACTTTGGCTCTTATTTGTTGATAACACATTCGTCATCTTGAAGAAGTTGGAACTAGAAAAACACATTATCAATTGCACATTCAGTGGCATTAAGTACGCAATGGAGACGGCGAAGGATAAACAACTGGCATTGTTGGACATCTTGATCATCAGAACGCTATCAGAAAAACTGGAGACAACGGTCGACGGCAAAGCGATGCATACGGAGCAAATCGCACACTAAAGAAGTGATCATCCACACAGTCTCAACAGATGTTAGGACCCTGTTTGGAAGAAGACAAGCGCACTGCAGCACCAGTATACTGAAGAAGAAGAAAATAGGATACTTCTTCAGAATATTTGCTCGCGATAGCGGCACCTATAATTTCATCAGAAGAACGCTGACTTAAGGAAAGAAATAAACAACAGACGGAGAATTGGGAACAAGAACGACCCTACCGTACATCAAGGAAGTTTCAAAAAAAGACAGCAAGACTGCTAGATCATACGGAATCAAAGTAGCCCACAAA